TGGAAAATTGCTCTAAACTCAAGCAGGCTTGTTAAAAGAAAAAGCAAAATTTCTGTATCATGTCAGAAGAGCCATCTGATATGGGACAGAAGAAAACCAAATTTAAGGGATATTCTATTGCCACTAATCTCAATTCTTTGGTTCTATTTTGATTCTTTAAAACTTTACTTAAGGTATGAATTTTATATCAAAATTTATAAGATTTATATATATTTTAAACTTTTGTCATGATATTAATGGTCATATAGAGTACTAAATAATTCTAGAAAAAAAAAGGCTTCATCTACCTGCCTGTACATGTTTTTGTGTTTTAGTCTCTATCAGTTTTCTGCAGGGAATCATGACCATGCATAACAGCAAATTTGAAAAAATCAAAAAAGATGATTGGGCCCCACAACTGACGATTCCACATGGACAATGAAAATACCACTAAGCTTCCAAACACCACCCAAAGATCTGCTTTGGAATACAAACTGCTCAGGACAATTTCAAGATGGCTGGCTGAGATGACCCAGCCTCACAGACTACTCGAGCAAGGACCTGCACCTTTGCATTATGTAGAGGCTGGGCAACAAATGAAACAACTACCTCTCCCAGAACTTGACATTTAATTTAATTTTTTTCTTTTCGGGATCCCCTAAAGATGCCTTTGCCCCCAAACAGCAGGAAGTAATTTTCAGAACATGACACCAACATTCCCAAGAGGTGGGATGGGTTGTTTTTGGTTTTTTGATGGGTTTTGGATAATTGTCATTCTTTAGGATAGTTGGTTACAAGTTGTTATTGTAACAGGAAAAAGGCTAATCAAAGGAGATCAGATTTAAGGTTATTGTTTGAAAAAAAAAAAAAAGAAGATATAGATGAGAGGCAGATTATTGAAACTACTCTGGAAAAAAGATATAGAAATAATAGAATAAAGAGTAGATCATTGAATGTACTCTGAAAACAAAAAAGGGAGAATATGAATATGATAAGATGAAAAGGTAGATTATTGAATCTATTTTTAAAAGGCAACTACTAGTTTTAAATATTTTACATTGGATTGGATTTTTGTATATTGTATACAAATCATGTATATTGATACCAATTTGAGATTGATTTTATTAGAATATATTGTATGTATATTTTTTATCTTGTTCAAGGTATTGTGCCTATACAATTCATTTAAAATATAATGCAGTTTGCTAATCCTTGAAAGTTATTATTACCAACTAATTACAATATAAAGAAATAAGTTAGTAGTTAATCATTATAATCGAACTAATAGTCATATTAGGTATATTTTCAAGTTCAAGCAGAGATATATTTTAGCTATACAGGTCATCTTCAAATACTTCAGAGATCTGCAGAATATGGCATTTAAGATGTTTTAATAACATAGATTTTTTTTCTTTTTTTATGACTATGAGACAAGTCTGCTCCTGGCAGCACCAATCTACTTCAGAGAAAATGATGGATATTGAAGAAACTCCACATGGAGTTTACTTTCACTGTGGCAAAAGTTAGTCAGTCACTAGGCAAGAAAATGCCCTTGCATCAACTGCTGACAGTATGCTGTCTAAAATAGACAAGCAGGACACAAAACAAAGAACTGCCTATCCTTGCCAACACAAGGTAGGAAGGCTCTTTAGGAAGTCCTGCTTCACAGATTAGTCTGTCAGATATGGTAAGCCTGTAGGCTGAAGATGATGCCCCAACATTGCAGAGAAACCTCGGGTGACTGTCGAGGCAGTCAGCTGTTTTGGTCATTTCTCAAAATTTTTGGAAGTCATTTGTTTGCACTTCCTGTTTTACTAGGTAATATTATTCTCTTCTCAGGTCTCTGAGGGAGTTAAAGATTAGATAGTTATAGTTTTCCTTGTTAAGAAATTTAGAAAAGAAACTCACTAACGAAGTATAAAGTGTATAGGTTTGAAAGACATCAAAAGATAGTTTTTCAGTTGGTAATACAAGTTAGGATAAAGTGAATTAGGTGCATTTTGGACTCACCAAAATAGGATAGATAATGGAATATTTTCTCTGAATTTGTCAAATGCAAATGGAATAGACATTGGTGATGTATTTATTGTTTGTATATATTGTATATAGTTATTGTACTTATTGTATATAGTTTTTCTTATATTAATTATAACTTTTTATTTCAGACAAAAAGGAGAAATGTGGTGATATTTTATTTGTATACCCCAATAAGGCTTATCTGGAGATCAGACGGAAAAGCCAGCCACTATATTAAACATAGAAATCAGGCAATGGTAGCACATGCCTTAAACCTAGCATTCAGGAGGCAGAGATCCATCCAGATCTCTATAAGTTCAAGGCCACACCGGGAACAGAGCCAGGCATAGCAACACATGCCTTTAATCCCAGCACTAACCATAGAGATCTGGATATCTGTACAGACAGTCAGGAAGTGAGAGAGAGGAAATGATATGACAGAACAGTTGTGCAGAGAGAGGAAATGATATGGCAAAAGAGAAAGGGCATATAGGCATGGGTATACAGAAAGTAGGTCTTTTTGGAGACTGGGGCATCTGGTAAGGTGACGTTGGCTATGGCTTTTCATAGTCCCTCTCAGGTTTTAACCCCAATATCTGGTTCTGGGTTTTTTATTTACAATGCTATTCAGGAATTTATAAGTTTTATTGGGGTACACAGATAAAATATCACCAGAAAGAATTGTCTGAGTAGCATTTTTTTCTTCCTCTATAATAAACACGATGAACTACAGAGCTCGTAAGGTCATTTCTGGTTTGGTAACATTTTTTTCTGTAAAGAGAAGTACACATATCTCCCTGTGGAGTCTGTGTATTGTGTAAGTACACATACAAACATTAACACTGATATGGCTTGTAGGGAAAATCACTTAGTGGAAATGACTCTGCAGGTCACAAGTTGGTAATCATTTCCAGACAGCTTTAATCGTCCTGCCTCATTTAGTATGCCTAATGTGCATTGCCAAGCAAAGTATATGGATTACAATACCACTTAGTTCTACTATAAATAAAAAAAAATCCTTGTACATTTTGGTGCAGAACTTGTTTATTTTACCTATTACACTCTACTATAATGGCTTCTGCTTTGCTAGATTTTGCTTTCAGCCATTTGGAAGGCAGAAATTTGGGTGTAAGTTGTGAGGGATGTATTTACCTGCAATAACAATGTAGGCTAAAATAATCTCTCACAGAGGAGCAGGATCCATTAGAGGAGAAGAACTCAGAATGTACAAGTGAGGTTCACATTGACCCAGGAAGGAGAAACAATGCATCTTAACTCTTTGGAATGTGACTCTGACATCTGGCCACATTACCAACAAGATGGGTCTTTTGTATTGTTTGCCAGACAAAAGGGACTCCATAAATGTGAAAATCTATGAATATATACCCTGAGATGAGTAGAGAGGTTAAAAACTAATTGCTGATGACCAGAAGAATATTCATATTTGAAATCATAAATGATGGAGTTTGACCGAATCAAATGTATGACTAGAATCCCTGAAGCCGAAGACAAAGCAAGCAAAACCAGTTCATTTATGACAGTTGTATGGGAGGGAAAATTCAGGCTGTTAAACACTAATGCTTTAATAAAGCACATCACTTCATTAAACAATTTGGAGAAGTTCAGTACTGTAGCATCAAAATTCCATTTATTTTCTTTAGATTTAGAATATTAAAATTTGTATTATTATGTTTTTCTATATCTAAGGCAAAAACTTAACTATGAAGTCAAGAAATGGGATATTTTCTGTAACTTATTCAGCAAATGACTATTTTATTTCAAGTATGTCTCTTTGGATTAGCATTGTTACATAGAGAATAGAAAGCATCAAAGATATGTTAGTGAGGTCATAGATCTGCATAGGGACTTGGTTGCTTAAACTTGACTTAAGTCATACAAAAATCAGTTTTACTACACCATCATTTTTTCTTTGCTTGAATATTATTAAAATCTACCAAACACTCTGGATTTGTCCTGTTTGCTGTGAAATGATTGTAAATTCAGGTCTTTCCTAATTCCAGCCCGCTCAGTCTCAAGATAACCCATGTTCCAATAGTTTCCATATCTACTAAGTACAAACTTCTTCTTTCTCACAAAGCTATACCTCCAACCCTTTTCGTGCTGAAAGAGAAAAGAGCTTATACAATATATTCTTCCTGTGATAACTGATACCGATTCCTTGAAAAGTTCTCTCTTCTCTACATGAACATATGATAATTTTTCTTAAAAACTGCATTTTTATTTTCCTCTACAATGGAGGAAGACTTCACCTTATTTTCAGCCACAACTATTGAAAAAAGTGTACCATAATTTGACACTGTGTAGTAGTTATAAACTATACTAAACTTACTAAGTTAAATGTGTTAAGGAATAAATGCTTATGTTTCTTCAAAATGCATGTGTTCCAATCCTAACCAATAATGGTTCTTAAAATAGAAAGCAGCCAAATATGTTTTCTAAGTATAAAATAACATTTTACATAATAAATTATTCCTGAGTATTAATTTAAAAAGAAAAAACACACTATGATAAGAATGAACAGAACTGGGGCTGGAGAGATAGCTCAGTGGTTAAGAGCACTGGGTGATCTTTCAAAAGGACAAGGGTTCAATTCCCAGCATCGACATGGCAGCTCACAACTCTCAGTGCCAGGGGATCTGAAACACTCATACAGACATACATGCAGGAAAACCCCCAATGTACACAAAATAAATAAATAAATCTTTTTTTTTAAAATGAACAGTTTTACTAGGAATTCTAAATAGCAAAGAAAACAAAAAATGATTATGGTTGATATGATTGTTTCACTTTGACACTGCTGGCTAGCAGCTATAATAGTTACCTCTTATTGTGCTGTTGAGAATTCAACTATATTAAAGTAACTTTCATTTAATGTCTTTCAGTGCCAAAACAATGGGGTAATTCCTGTGAGAGTTCTCAAGAACTTTCTATGAGTGTGACTAATTCAAACTCCTTCAGAATTACAGGTTATCATTGTTACTTACTGAAGTTGGAACTGTTTTTCTGGAAGAAGTTGGCTGTGTTGTGGTCCAGGGAAGCACATGAATTATGACTATAGTAGTGGCCGTCAGCTGAGTGGCTGCATTCTCACCCAATTCATCAGTGACTTCAATAAGTAACTGGAACGTCACTACATCTTGAATTCCTTGAAATAGATCATACTGGAAATTCTGTCCAGTGGCCAGAAATGGAGACTCAGCACCTTCTCTCCAAAGTGTGAATTGATTATTTGAGTTTCCTAAGAAGGATGAGGTAATAAAATAATGGAAACTCTATTATGAATGCTTATTTCCATTTGCTTGCTTAAGTTTTTGTTTAAAATATATTTTGTGAAATGTTCCCAACAGTTACAAAGTATCTGACATGAGAATCTCATGGAACAGCATGGAAGTAACCAATTTGAATTCACATGCTTTACCTCCTATGATTGAATAGCTTAGATGATCCTGTGGAGAATCCTTGTCTAAGCAATTGAGGCGAGTGAAAGGGCCCCTAAAGGTGGCATAAATCCGAATTTCTAAATGTGGTGGTGTGCATACAGGAGGCTCATCATTCACATTCTACAACAAAAGAACATTTTCTTAGGTTAAATCATATTTAAAAAAATCTCACCATATACAATTAGTCACTTTTTAAATTTTTATTGCATATAGTGTTGGCCTAGATAATTTGCAGTAAACTATAGAAATACATCTCTCTCTCTCTCTCTCTCTCTCACACACACAGAGAGAGAGAGAGAGAGAGAGAGAGAGAGAGAGAGAGAAACAGAGACAGAGACAGAGAGAGACTTACAGTGACTCAGATTCTATGATTGCAGAATAATGATGGTCATTTAAATGCTCAAAGCTAATGTCCACAAGATTCCTCACTTCTGCAATTTTTCCCAATGTGTCTCTTCACAGAAACATTATTTCACCATTTTTTTCTACTGACTTATTCATTCACCTTTTTATTTTCCCTTGAATTACTAACTTGTGAAATAAAATAGATATAGTAGACAGCTGATGTTACCAATTGGAAACCATAGTTGCCCCCTTCATGTACAACACATAGGAAACAGTACTACTTAATTTTCAAGTGCCTCATGCCTAAAAGCCTAGAACTGTGCTGAGGAGCACTGCTGTCTTATTAAGGGGCTTACAATTTCACATTATGAACTGATAACCAGCATCATCCAAGTTACCAGGAGAAGAGTGAAGTGACAGGGACAAGAATCAATAAATTGATTTGAATTCACAAATTTGGAAGGATTGTGGTTATCTTTAAAAATTCATCTATGTACTTAACACAGTATAAAATAATTAACAGGTATAAAAAAGTAAACATGTCATTTTAAAACTTAAGAAAGAGCCAAGAAAATATTTTTTAGAAATAAATTATCTAAATGTTTTTACAATTGCTGTTATTTTCGTGTACAGTTCACATTCATTGGTGGACTCGGAGTGCATCTCTGAACAACCTCCCAAGATTGCAATTCTCCTCAACCATTTTGATATTCCCATTACATTTTGAAGCTCTGAGAACATTCTGGCAGAAAGAATTCTTAGTGCTCCAACATCATGGCCAGCTTTTAAGCTTGTTCTTAAATTAAGCAAAGGGGATCCTGCCAACCTTGAATCATCAGTTTCTTATTTTGAGGTGCTGTTTCTATGGCTTGGAATTTAATATATCATTCCAATCTTGCTTGCCAGAATTAATTTTGGCAAAAGACCATCATTTTCTTAAGTAACTGGATCTCCAATTACACTAGAACATAGCATATTCGTGTTACTAAGTTATTATTCTTTATGGAAATTTGACCAATACATAGTACACAAGAAAGCAAAACAATGGTTTTAGTTGTTCATACACCTTAAAATCACCATAATTCTGGAACAAACATACTCTGAAATGTTATTATATGTATTTATTAACTAAATTTCAATAAATAAAAACAAACAGCCAGTTCATTTGGTAAATTCTTTAAAACCTGTTCCCAATTAAAGGGAAATAAATTGAGTTGCAATTATCTTTGGGTAATCTGGAAAGGCATTTTCAATCCCTGTGTTGTTTTTATGATTACCTAAGGTGGTTATTAAATAAAACGTAGTATTTAAATTTTCTTAATTCCTAATAAATAAAATGTATTCCCAATACATCAATCTTAATTCAGCAATATTTATCATTTTTATTTCATTTGGACTAGAATAGATTGTCTTTACATACTGAAATTCATCAAGCTTTTAAGTGCAAGAGTTGGAGACATGGCTCAGCAGTTACGAGCATTCACTGTTTTTGTAGAGGACCCAGGTTCAGTTCCCAGTACCTATATGGCAGATCACCCCCATCTGTAACTGGATTTCCAGCAAATCAAGCACATTCTTCTGACCTACTGGGACACCAGGCATACATGTAGTGTGTATCCATACAGGCAAACATGAATACACATACACTAGAAAAGGCAAATAAGTAAATCTGTTTTAAGTTTTTTAATACGAATATAGTACGTTTGGAGAACTTGATAAACTGTGGACCATTTATTTAATGTGATTTAGACTCTGATTTTAAAGTAAAATGGAAAGACTAAGTGGATAGTTATGAAGTTGTGTATCCTTGTGTTTGGTGCATAGATGTTTAGAATTTTGATGTTCCTTTTGTGGATTTTCCCTCAATGAGGATGTAACGTCCTTCCCTACCTCTTCTTGATTAGAGTTGGTTTGGGAGTCTATTTTGTCAGTCCCAGCACTGAAAGGGGAATTGGAGACAGGGTTCCATCCCTAACCAAGAAGCTATTTGCAACTGATAGCTGCTGGGAAAGGAGGAACCAATATTCTCCAATGGAGAGAACTAGGTATATGAACCATACCCCAAGATAGACCTCATGCCAGGCTCTCCCTCTCTCCCTCTCCCACTCCGTCTTCCACCTACCCCCCCACCCCCCTCTCTCTCTGTGTGTGTGTGTGTGTGTGTGTGTGTGTGTGTGCTGTGCACTTTTTGTTTTGTTTTATTTTATTTTATTGTCTAATTGCTCTTTTTCTTGTTCACCTTAATTTTGATTTTAGTCTTTTTTGAGGATTTTTGAGAGAGAGAGAGATGGGGGGAGGACACCAAATAGGGTAGGTAAGGAATTAGGGAGAATCTAGGAGGAGTTGCGTTAAGGGAAAACATGATAAAAAACACTATATGAAAAAAACTCAAGAATAAAAACAATTTAAAAAGAGGAAGGGATAAATTACATGGTTACAAATACACATCGTTGGTACAGGTTTGGCACGTTGAAATAACTAGGCAGGAGTCAGAAGCAGGCTGGGCTGCAAAGCAGAGATGATAAATAGAAGAAGAGAGAAGAGGGAGGAGGGAGAAAAGGCGAAGGATAGGATGGCACCAGAGGCCAGCCACCCAGCCCCACAACCAGCCATGAAGTAAGAAATAAAGAAAGGGATATAGAATAAAGAAAAGAAAAAGGCTAGAGGCAAAAGGTAGATGGGATAATTTAAGTTAAGAAAAGCTTGCTAGAAACAAATCAAGCTAAGGCTGGCCATTTATAAGTAAGAATAAGTCTTTATGTATTTATTTGGGAGCTGAGTGGTGGGCCCCTCAAGAGCAAAGAATAAAAAAATAAAAACAACTACACGGGGTAGAAGGAAAGACCCAACTCCTGCAAGCTGTCCTCTCAACTCCTCAGGAACTCACACAAATATGTCAAATAAATAAATAGATTTTAATTAAATTAAAAAGAAAAAAGAAATTATGTGAAACTGGGAAAAAAGAAAACAAAGAAATTATGTGGAACTCAATGTCCATTTATATTTAAAAGCTTTAATAATAAAAAAAACTACATAGTTTGATTAAAATGCCAAAAGCTAAAGTATGTACTGATAGCATGCATAGTAAAGAGGCAAATGAAATGAACTCAAGCTTTATAGGCTTAAGTTGGTTAGGACAAGTTCTCAATCATGATGCTAACAATAATATTATTAAGCTTTGTAATCATTACCCACAACTGTTTTTCATGTTTTGTGAAGGGAGATGTAGAAACTTCTTTCACTGATTTCTCTTCCCTACCTGACATTCTTGAAGGCTTTAACATCGGAAAGTTCTAGAGTCAAACTACCAAGCAATACCCACAGCAAGAAGCCTTTTTAAAACCATTTGATTGGAAAGACTTTTCCCAGCCTTTTATTCTGAGGTAGTATCTATCTTTGAAACTGAGGTGTGTTTCTTGTATGCAGCAGAAAGATGGGTCCTGCTTTCATATCCATTCTGTAAGCCTGTGTATTTTAATAGGTGAATTAAATCCATTGATATTAAGGGATATTAATGACCAGTGATTGTTAGTTCCTGTTATCTTTTGGTGGTAGTGTGTGTGTACTTCTCTTCTTTGGGGTTTACTGCTGTGGAGTTATCTATTGCCTGTGTTTTCGTGGGTGTATCTGACTTCCTTAGTCATTTAAGTGATTATCCTGATAACATCAATCACCATCACAAAGCAATGAAGAAATGCAAGCTAAGTTTGGTTAGAACAAAATAGTGATAACACCAAATGATGAAGAAATGAAATTTAATTGCTTGCACTTCATGGATGGGTATAGAGTGATCACGTCACCTTGGAAAAATTGTTAAGAGTTTCCAGACACCCAAGAACACATTTCTGGGTGTGCCTATGAAGGTCTATGGAGAGATTAACAGATGAGTGCTAAGATTATGCAATGAGGAATACCCAGCCATGAGGGTGGATAGTTTTCAATCCACTGAAGAGTCAGACTAGAAAGACTCAACTTCTACTTCAGTTGAGCTTCAGAGCTCTAGGTTATTTCATTTTGATACGTTAAAACTGATTGGAATGTCCCATTCCCAATCTTGGTTCTCAGGCCTTTAGACTGGGACCAAATAGGACAGTGGTACTAATCAGGCTAGCTTCCCCTCCATGAGTTTTCAGGAATGGATTAAATATGCAGTACCCTTTCCTCAACGTTTTGTTAACTTCTGCTCAAGATAGCACAGTTCTTTTCTCTCTGAGTTCAGATTTGTCTTATTCTTATACTTTGGGAACCTCAATGAGAAATATAATATAAATTTTGATACACAACACATGATATTCACAAAGTGAAGGGGCAGAAATAAAACTAGATATACAGGCATAATCTTCTGATCCAGATAGTTATTTTTCCAGAATGATGAAGAAAACCTGAAAACGGTAAGTATACAAAATTGTATACAAATAGTCCTCTAAGAAATGATAGAATCATCAGAAAAGGACAAGAAAAACAAACATACTTGAACTGAATAAAGTAATATTTTAAATATTAAAACATGAATAATTCAAAATTTGATTAAAGTATAACTAGTTCATAAGTTGAAATTAAGAGTAAGAAATTTAAACTGCTTTTGTATGTGTTCATACTATTTGTAGTTTATGTTCAGATTCTTGATATCTGATCTTCTTTAATAATTATAAACTCTGGGGCCATGGAGATAGTTCAGTTGGTAAGAGTACTTGCCACCAATCCTGAAAATCTGAGTTCAAACCCTAGAACTACATGGTAGAAGAGAACCAACTCCCACAAGTTATCCTCTGACC